CGGAAACTCGGTGACTGCGGCTACCTGATGAGCTCCAAGAAGGGCGAAACTGGTCGTGGATTATCGACGAATTTTCAGCAACTTATGAGTAGTGCATTACGAACATGCATGCTCGGTGTTTTTATAGACAATGGTGCGTGACATCACTTTGTATCAGACCGATGTATTCGCAGCAAACAGTATCTTCCGACCTTAGCATGGCAGCTCATTTTGTACGCCCGAAAATAAGAAAAATCAACATTTTCAGGTGTAAACAAATTTACGAACATTCCGGGAACTCACAGTTTGCGCTAGCTCGCTTCCGGCAACTGTTCTTCTCCAGATTTTTTTCGGGTTTATTTCGCTTTTTGACTGCCCGCTAACATGAATGAATTAGCACTTGGCAGCTGGACTCATTTTGGTCTTTACGGGACACCTCTTTGTTGTCCAAATGCCAAATTCATCGACCTTGATGACCTTCGCTGCCCCAGAGGGGACTATTACGTTCCCAATCACATGGAAGTCACAGACTGCAGGCCAGTCAACCTATAACTCTGGTACTGACACTACGGTTGTTCCCCTCAGATTAGTTTTTTGTTCTTTTATTATCTGTTGTTTAGTACCACGGTGTTGTTCGTACATCCTATCAACCAGCCACCGAATTTTTTTCTACATTCCTTCCGAATTTCGGCTAATCCAACCAATCTTGGCATATGGATACATCCGCTTTCGATGACAGGTTACACACGGGATATTTTCCCTAACGTTAAATCCTTTGTTTAGTCGTTTTCCACTTGAGGCTATCAGTATGAGTCTCACACCAGCTTTCTCGATGACCGAGATTACTTGTACAACACGCGTGGTCATAAAATTTGCCTTATCCATCTCGAATGACTACCGATCATAGAAACCAATGCCGTTTCATTCCACGTGATTTTTACTGGGTGATCAAGTTTAGTCTAAGCCGGACTGGGCTGAGAATTTTACTGGATGTTTCCAAGATATCTTCATTTCGCTAAAAGCTTTGTCCGCATAGGGACACGTCAGGGCAGTTTGACAGTCTGACGTGCTTTTTTGATTCCTCTGTTTCATTTCCGCTTTTTAGATCAATGTTAGTGCCTAATTCAAATTTCCAATGGAACAAACTGGTCAGTATTTGTCAGCAGGGCGTCGAAATCAACTATGTGGTTGTGGTTCACTTTTGATGGCATCTCTTCAGTACTAAGCTAATAAACAACTCAAAAATAGCGTGTAGGTTAATTGATTGCTTAAGTTTAGTCAGAGCTGATCGATAGCCGCGATGACTTCGATCAACGGACATCAGTTCGCTCCTGTAATCATCAGTCATCCTGCAACTTGATGGTCTTCAGCTTTGATAGAAGTCTCTTGAGGGTTGTTTTTAATCCTCCCCCTTACACTTGAATTCCGTGACCGAGTACCTAAGCATTTGTAATCACGTCCCGCATACGTTTTCACCAAGTATGATTTTTCTATTGTTGTCCTTCACTTTGCTAATGGTTCGAAAGACTGAAACTTTTTTCATAGTACCAAAGTTGTCAAATGGTATCTTTCCTCAGTGGAATTCTGAAGCCGCCAGAGGTGCTTAGTCATGCGGTTATAAATTCGCGGCTAAAGATGCCTCGGCAAAAGATATTTCTGACCCCGGCTGACTGGACCACCGGTTCTCATCGTGGATACTATTGTTGCCTCACAGGGAGCTAATGCTCTATCCGCTTTGATCCCGCAGTCCGTCTTTATTCCAAATCGCACACGAACCAATCAGATTGTGGTCTTATTCAATGCGCGTCCGTGTATTCCACATAGCCTAAGCAATGTCCTCTGTTTCTTTGGGTTAATCTTTAGTACACGTATTTATCTGCCTTCTTACCTTCTCCGTTTGAAAATAGTCACAGTCAGTCCTGTGACTAGTTAGCTGCTGCAGCGTCAGTTCGGAGAACATCAGCGGTTTCGGTTGCCACCATGCCAATCTGAGTTTGGCGGACGGGCACACACATCGTCTTTTCTTCTGTCGACGCAGAGTATGACGGCAACCTTTCGAATGTTGTTGTTACTAATGCTTCAGACTTTGGACGCTTCCGACTTTGGAGACGCAGAACTACACGATTTTCAGTTAGTTATTGCATGACTGGAATTGTATCGAAAGTGTTGCAGCTCATGTGGATGTACTAGTGTAACGGCGGATACTACTGATGAGGCGTGTGAGTATTCTGTAGCCTTGTCGAAATCCGCCCCGCATCCAATGGAAGGTGGAGTGGAACTGCTTTGCAGTGTTCCTTTGCAATTGATTTATAATCGGTGAATTTCCATGAAAGTTCAAGAACACGCGAGAAAATGCTCAGTTTTTAGAAACTAGGTGCATGGGAGATGTTTACTTTCCTGTCCAATACTTTGCAAATGCTTGGTTGGAGTTGGACTTCGAGGTGGAGGCCTTCGCTCCTTAGGCTGGTAATTGCTCAGGTGCATGTCTGTCTGTTCAGTGAGTTCGGCAGTTGAGTTGCAAATTTCTTCTTGTCAGTGCAGTCTGAGGCAAGTCAGTAGTCGTAATACGACAGGCGTTAAACTTGCATCCTTATTAATGGGATGGCGGCNTTTCTTCTGTCGACGCAGAGTATGACGGCAACCTTTCGACTGTTGTTGTTACTAGTGCTTTTGACTTTTGACGTTTCTGACTTTAGAGACGCAGAACTACACGATTCTCAGTTAGTTATTGCATGACTGGAATTGCATCGAAATTGTTGCAGCTCATGTGCATGTACTAGTGTAACGGCGGATACTACTGATGAGGCGTGTGAGTAGTCTGTAGCCTTGTCGTTCCGCCCAGCGTCCAATGGAAGGTGGAGTTAACTATGGAACTGCTTTGCAATTGCTTGACATTCAGTGAATTTCTATTAAAGTTCAAGAAGACGCGTGAAAATGTTCAGTTTTTAGAAGCTAGGTTCATGAGAGTTGTTTACTTTCCTGTCTAATACTTTGCAAGTGCTTGGTTGGAGTTTGCTCATAAACGACTTCAAGGTGAAGGGCTTTCTTGGTAACCACTCATATGACTGTCAGTCTGTTCAGTGAGCTTGGCAGTTGAGTTGCAAATTCCTCTTTGTCCATTCAATATGAGGCAAGTCAGTAGCCGTATAACGACAGGCTTTAAACTTACTAGGATAGCGGCCGAGTCTGCTTATAATTTATTCCACTTGTAGGATGACCCGCCAAACTATTCAGTCAGATCATCTTCTTAAGATGAATGTGCTAGTTGTTCAAGCGCGTGATTCCGGGCAGAATAGATTACTTTTTTCAAGATGAGGTGTCTAAGCAATAGCAGATGTCTTTATTTTTGCTGATCGTCTCGTGATTTCGAGGAAAGGTAGTGCAGTAACGATAACATGCGCCTAGTTACATATGATGGCCGAGAACAGACACGGATATTGAAGACCTTAGAACAGTGCAGACGGAAAAAATGGCACTCGTAAATGATCAGCTGCAGACATGGCCAATAAAGTACAGACTCCGGAAGCGGATTCGTATAGATTTTGCAAACCGGCGAAATCAGTCCTACATTCCTCCTGTCGTAGATGACTTGAGGTTTTCGAGACACAGACCTTTTGCCCGAAATAAGGGAAATTTTATGTATACGTAAACTAAATTGCAATCGGATAGCGTGGACAACAGCACATGCCTGTTGAAGAGGAAACACTTCTCTGAGGAGAGAAGTCATTCGAGAATTTGTTTTGAAATTTGTCTTTGAGTTCATCAACCAGACGAGATAAGAAGGACTGTTGAAATGGCGGTATCAGGAAGGTCAGATTCCTGAACGCCCTCAGAACGCCCGAAACCTGTTGTTCCACCAAAATCTAAACAGGAAAGCCGGCAAGCATCCAGGCCAGTCAATTATTCAATCAATTCAGCAAAACCTGATGAGTGTTCATGCATGTCACAGAAGCACGACCGAATGTGATCTGCGTTCATGCATTTCATAGAGGCACGATCGATGTTGACGGGTGTTCACTAACACCTATCGGACAGCCTGGATCAATGTCAGAAAGTTCCCTTTAAATTGCATGGAACCGTTGTAACTTTCGCTCACGCTCACGCTCTCCCACTCGCTTGTTCGCAATATAGCTATTGTGTTCCCTTCTGTGAGTCTTTTTTCAGGCAATAGGCACTGGAGCGGGTCAGCAGCAGATACCACAGATTGACGAATCAACAGATATAACAGGCGGACAGGCAGACTCAACGCCTCCAAATCTTGAAGCTACGGACAAAAGAACTGTTTTATGTGTGTCCAGTGGAAGAAAAGACAAACTATGTAGATCCATAAGTGTATTGAAGCCATGACAAATTAAATTGACATAGATGTGGTTGTGTGGTGGTTGTTGATCATCACACGTGGTACTCACAGCTTGTCCGACCTTGGTTCAAACCGAGCTGTGTTCTCATTTTCGACCCAACACCCATGGGATGTGTAAAGCCCACATTAAGAATATGCAGGTTGTAGCCAGCGAGCTCTACTTCTTCACCGGCTGCCACATCGCACCCTTCTACCGGTAGTCTCAAGTGTTGGAGTTTTTCCACAACCTTTAATGGAGAAGTGAAATAATGATTTACAGGAATACTTGTCAGTTAGAAATATACTTTAATTCGCAAAAGATTTTCCAAGGTTACTGGCTTACCTCTTTACATGTGAGTCCATTAGCAGGCCCGGGAACAGGGAAAACTGTAAAAGATGTTATTTTATTTGAAAACTGAGTTCAGAGAGTTGACAAGAACTAACCAGTCTCGTCAAAAAGGGGGCAAATCTGCTTCTACCTTAAGATAAACAGAGTGGTCCTGAAGAGTTTATTCAAGTGACTTTTCAGACCGAGAGAAACGGTCTTCTAAGTGATTTACACTCTTAGGCTCGAAGATAATATCCGACTCAAAACTGCAAGGTTTTTAAAGAAACAGAAAATCAAGCAGTGGGGTGATTGACATATCGGATGAATTATCCACGAAATTAGATTAATAACTTCGCCATCACGAAGCGTATTTGTTTGTCTCTTTTAAAATACTGACATGCCGCAGGTACCAATAGGATGAAATCCAAACACTGAACTGGTGGATGCGCTATTTCAGTGTTAACTGGGGGGGTGTATAAGATTGGAAGGGAACGATGAGTAAAAACGGTTCTCATCCAAACTATCCAAACTATTCACTATAAAATTCAAATCTGACTTTCATTTTTTGGCCTGTTCGGGGCAGTCAGTAGAAAACTTTCATAATTTCAAATCATGTAACTTTTTTCACTCTTACCTGAGACTGGTGGCTCCGAGGCTGGCCCTGAAAGCGTAAGTAAAAAGTTGAATGAAACCAATACAATTGATCAACTTCCATCAGAGTGCCAAGTATCTGATGGTTAATGTGCGCACAAATACATTTTATTGGTAGTGGTTTGTAAAAAACCATTTTGGCTTTATCCAATTTCCGTTCCCACTTGTCTGTTCTAAGTAAATTATTTTTAATGGATATTCATGAAAAATTGTGATAAATTTGTGTTCAACCTTTGTTTGATCGACTGAAGCGTTGGTATGCTGCGTTATCCTTGGTCACTTTCCGTTGGAGAAACGTTTTTTAACCGGTTCTACCAAGCGCATCGTCACCGAGACTGTGGATGACTCATGAAAATTCGGCCAGTTGAAGTCAGTGGAGTTGAGTGCTCACGAGTGAGCCAATGGCAGTAAACAAAGGAATGGCAACACGCTTGTGTTTCACGAGCTCAAGAGTTTATCCTCGTAAACACTGCTCCAGTGACAGTGATGAAGATTTTACAAGTGGGGGATACATGGTGAAAGCTTTCAAACTATAATGTGTTGTTTTTTCGCCATAATTCATTAGACGCTCAACTTTTGTTATGCAGTCACTTTCAGGTAGGCAATCTAGCAAACCAAATATGCCAAGGTGAGATATCTTTAAGGCAACCTAAACAGAGCCTGACCCGTGACTCCGTCATTTACATACAGCCTAGCTTTCAAGCCGCAAATCACGTTTGTGCACTCTGCATCTATATGGTCAGTCCACGGATATACGGTTGAACACTCTTCTCATAGTGTGGTCTTACCCAGTGTTCGCTAGGACTTCCGGAAGCTAAAGAAACTCAGTGATGATGTTTACCAAGACTTATTCGGATCGCTTTGAGAATGGAGAATTGCAGTCAGAGAATATAGATCGAGAACTACCTTCGTTCTTCACCGATGACTTTCGGACCTCTCTCCTGCCTTTCAAAAGTATGGATACTCTACTTTTTTTAGGATATATCGATAAAGGGTTAGCTTGAGCAGCGGCGGCCAATTGCACTGTCTGCGTGGATTGACTGCTCCAATGGCATTCATCAGTTTTTGGTCACTCCGTATAGAAAATCAATATTGTTTCATTCGCTAAGTCTGTTTTTATGCACCATACTGACATGATATTCACTCCATCAATGTCGTAAATTAGTTCACTCTTTAAAAATCTCATAGCACAAATGCCAATACTCGGGTGAACAGAACAGCAAACTCACCTACAAACGTTCTGCATGATCCGAATCCTCCGCCCACGTCCCTATTCACTTTCCAAAGCACGTAGGCTGGCGACAGCGTATTTCCTTCCACCTCCCGAGCAATATCTGTTTGGAAGCTGAAGACATCAACGGATCCCTCTTGTTTAAGAAAGTGACATCCAGACAGCTTTCCGGAACTCCAGAGTTCTGGATTTAGAGATTTAAGCTGAAATGACATAAATGACTGTTTGTATGGAGAACAAGGAACAAACCCGAGCTCTGTACAGCATGAAGTTAGTCCTATGTACTAACAGACTTCCAGATTGGTTAAAGGGACAAAATATTACAAATTACGCTAAAGATACATCATGAATTTCGCTCCTGGACCAGTTCTCGAGGATCTTTTTGTGTGAGCTGAAAAGCCAGCGGTTGGTAGACCTAATACTTTCTCGATAGAAAGGTAAACGCCGTCTCTCTCCTGCTTGAGGCTCATCCTGATCCAAGGTTAATTTTGAAAACCTTATCTACAAGCATTGATGTGTCTTATTCATACGTGACTACTCTTTCTAGACCTGTTTTGTATACAACTAGAGTGGATACAATGAGTTATGTCCCAAGAGATAAACAAACTGCTCTAGCTTCATCTTATTGAAACTGAAACCAGGCTTGGTGTGTTGTTTGTCCGAAAGAACCAGAAATATTTTGCCGGGAAATTACATACAAACATGCTTTGCGAACTGCGTGGTAATGGTAGAGGCATAGGGGATGAGAACATCCAAAACAGATAATTCAGAGTGCCAGTTGATAGCTCATCGTACAGATGAATCCAGTCTAAGCCTAGGAGTTCCGGACATAAGTTACATTCCTCTTAGTAGGCATCGGCTGTGCGCACCTCCGGACAAATCCTTCGGCCATTGCAGTCTGTACCAATCTTTACTGGCGGTTTATCTGTATTGAGAGCAACTCGCTGTTAGGAAGAATATGTAGCACCGCTCACCTCCCCACCCGCCCACATCACATCATTTGGCCCAACTTTACCCGGCTCGCCCTGTGGAGACTGGGATGGAATTCTCAAGCAGCTTGTGGGAGCTATTCTTTCTTTCTTGTAGTTTATCATTAAGCAGAACGAATGGGATCAATCACACGGCTGTGACCGTATAACCATACAATTCGACTTTCACTCACACATAGTCGACTGTAAAATGCGGACTTTTGCTCAAACTAGCAGTGACTTGGTCTGAATTTTTATATCTGAAATAGCTTAGAATAAACACGTTTAGTCCGAAATCTCTGAGTTACTGCGAAATCTTCGGTTTAAAAACAAGGAAGCGTGAGGTGCCTATTGGTCACTTATCATAAAATTTAAGTAAGTAACTTTTTGGTTGAAACTTACGTCGTCACAGCTGTCAGTATGTCGTGCTAACCCTGTGACTTCCAGATAAGCGTAAAAAGCTATTCAAAATGAAGAGATAAAAGAACTTGTTACGGTTTTGCCTAACGAACGTTCAACTACAGTTCACTATTCTTTAAAGAGAAATTCCCACTTTAAAAAGAACCACACTCTCCTAGACTTTTCGCCGCTGGGTCAACTTTAAAAAAAAACATCCCAAGCAGGGAAGTAGCAAACCAGAAAGCGACGTTGTTAAGTTAGAAATGCTCTTCTGTCCGAAATGTTCAAATGTGTCTCATACCTCAGAATCAAAGGGTCGGTCGTTTTTTCGGAAAAACATTCTTTTCCTTGAAGCATCTTCACTTTTCACGCTGTACGGACTATATCGTATCGCACTACATTAATTTCTCAATATTTCACCTGCAGAAAAATACAGCATAATCTCGTGATGTGCGGTGAATGTGAGCTTCTGTTGAGGTTTATAAGCCATTATATAAAATAGCATTGGATTGTCCTGTTTGATCAGTTCATGCAAATCCGTTTTAACCGAACACGAGCGAGGTTGGTACAATGGATATATTTTTCATTAATTTTGAAACCAAGCTTGACCTTGTATGAATTTCAGACAATTTCAACAAGGTCTACTCATGATTAGACAGAATAGCCGCCTTTCTGGGCATAACGCAAGAGAGGCAAATCAAACCAGGTGTTTTTTAAACCAGTGTGTACCAGGTGGGAGATTAAAGTCTACAAAGAGAGCTAGAATTTCTCATAAGCCTGTTTTTGACGGCGTAATGCTTTAACAAGTTTCTCGGAAAATATGTGATAACTTGCACTGGTTTTCATTTTTCGCTTGAAAACAAAGTACTAGTCGGAAGACCCCGAAAACTCCTTGAAAGTGCAATATCTCGCCATGTGTCTTGCGAGATTAGGTGCACAATTTATGATACAGAAAATCGTGAATCTGTTCATATTGTGAAAAGAGTAACATCACGAGGAGACTGCATGAAGTAGATTGAAAGATTGCATAAATTTATTTCTCGAATTTTAGCGTTTGATTCAGATTGATTCAGACCGATACATTAATACAAAGCGAACTGTTAGGACCAGTTGCTTACGACATAATGATCATTCAGTTACTACTTTCGAAAATTGCACCACACATCTGAGAAACGCCTTGGGCATAGTATGCACCACTACCACCATCTTCTGTCTCCTTGCCGGGAGGGGAATGATTTTGCATTCATGCGATCCTCCCTACAGCAAACCAGCTTGGTGACACTGTTGTCATAATTTTCTATTTGATTTCACTAAATCTGGGTACACACCAACCTATTCCTGGAAGAAAAGTGCGTAGAGAAACCATTCCATCCGGAGACATTTGGTGACACTGCTGTCATAATTTTCTATTTGATACCCACCAACCTATTCCTGGAAGAAAAATGCGTAGAGAAACCATTCCATCCGGAGACATTATGTACCGTCACACAGGTTGTGAAGAGGTCACTAGACACTCGAACACTTGCGTCCTACGTGATTAACACGAGACGTTCATGATTGTTCATGGGTGGTTTATCAAGAAACGGTAACTGACTAACCTGAACTTCCACCCCAATTCAACATTGCATTTAATACAAGTGAGCATCAGCAGGCAGCTAATGAGTCATAAATTGAAGCACACCTCACAGTAACCGTTACAACTTTTCTTAGATTTCACAAAGGAAACTACTCACAAGGTTGCTGAAAACTGTTCGACATTACAGAGCTTCATTCCTTTGATTATAGCGTTTGATGCAGACCGATACATGTCTGATAAAAAACGACCTGGTAGGATCAGTCAATTTTGCGAGCGAATGCATTTTTGTAGTATGACAGATTTGCTTAGAACTACATAAGTGGATAAAAAACAAAGATTGTACACGTTGAATCAATCTGAATACTCATCATTCGTTTTACAATTATCAAATTGAGTGCTGCGTTCAGCGGACTCAGGTTACACACGGACTCGGGAGTGGATTCTCTTTATTGGACAGTCTTCGTTTCGTTTTGGGGCGCTTTTTCTCGGTTGTGGTGCCCTATATTAGGATTATCGTCTTGCTAAAGTATCGCTTCTCTAGGTGACTTATGGAGAGGTGGTTTATTTGGAGGGACTGTCGTAAGCGGTCAGTCAGATAGGTAAATCCCAACAGGAAGCCAACAACCACCATCTTGGGCACTTTTTCAGACAACGGACATAAAAAACTGGGTTTGATGTAAGCGACGAAGTGTACGACTAGAACAGGGTAGATTATCTTCGGGAGTGAAACACAAAACAACACTGAAATTTGTCTATCTTCTTATGATAACCAAGACGTTTGATTGGGCTGAAGCCCGGAAGCGTGCGCTGAATGGCACCAAATGAATATCACAAAAGAGGGACTCTGCTCTGTCTCCCTTGAAAACCGACCTGGTGTTCAACTAACCTTACTTCATGAATAGACTAGTGTTGAGTTGGAACATACAATCGATGGAAACCAATGCCTGCAGGATGAACCCCAGGATGGACGAAGCCACTCGTTGGTTTCCAAACAGTTTTCAGCAACCTTAAGAGTAGTTTTCTTTACAAAAATATACTGCGATGTCACGAATATCATACCAACTGTAAGATGAGCTGCCCCCTGTCCAGTACATTTAGTTGAGAAATGCGATAAACATGAGATTTAGCTGGGATTTCGTGGAAACCAAACAGAAGCTCAAATGAGTGTAGTTCACTAGGGTCGAGTGCATTTATTGACGTTCCACTACGAGGTAAAAATTGTGAACAATACAGCTTACTTTCCCTAATGCACTGAGCCACTGGCGCAATCACGAGAAGGACCAGAATGAAGGGGTTCATTCTCCGTAAGGCTGAGCAATCTGCACTTTGCCGAGCATACGCTTTTATATCCAGTGAATCGCCAAAGCGCAGACAACGGCAAGGGAGATGTAATGACCTTAGTGTGTAGATCTATCACGACTGACAGACAATGAAAACTTTAATGATATTCCGAA